CTACTGGTTCAGTCCTGAATACCCATGTTATGTCGTTAAGCATTAAGAATCCAGAATTTGACTCAAAGAAGGGAAGTGTCAATCTTGCATCAAGTTATCTAGCTCGGGAAGCTATGTCTAATAGGTGTTAGGTTGTTCCTCATCGCATCAAAATATAGGTTGTCGCCTCGAAAAGTACTTAGATGACATTCTTGCTTAACTAACGGCCGTGGCTAACCATGTATACAAATACATAACAAAATCCATTAATCCATGGAAAATATGGTGAAAATCTTGATATTTATCTAGCTTCTTTTTATAAATGAGAATTCTTTTTTTCCCCATCTATCATGTTTTCCTTTAAAACTAATATAATATTTTTTATAAACTTCCATTTAATAATTACAAAATTATATTCGAATTTGAGATGATAAGAGTTCTATTTTTCTTCTTTAATATTGTCACATTCTAAAGTTTCTTTCCACGTGGAGTTAACGAGAATAAAATCCCCTTTTTGTGTTCAATTAATGGAATGCTCTCTTCGGATATCAATGGATCCATATTCTTAGCAATTTTTAATGTGATTTTGCCTAAAAAAACTCCAATATTAATTATGTACATGCACGTCATGACTCACAATTTTGGCAAATATTAAATGCAATCTCATGTTACTTTAATTGCACGTCTTCGGGAAATACTTTTATTATATCAAAGTCAAAATTAATTTTTAAATACCAAGAAAAATAAAAAAATCTTATCTAAATTTAATTAGATCCTAAGATTCTGTTTCCTTCAAATACTTTGTTTGGTAGAATCATTTTCCAAGTTCGAGTTCTTCTACCACAATATAAAAAATTTTCTCAAAATTTTTTGGAGTGAATTGTAATAAATACTCTATTACATTTAAGCTTGACCAAACAAATAAGTAATAACTGAAAAATCAATTCAAAGACTCATCTTTTTGAAGTGAATTCAAGTCTTAATGCATAAATTAAATGCGTCAACTATAATTTTTGAGCATTTAAATTCCACCCTAAAATTTCAAACTTAAATAGATTGATAATTAGTGGTGTCAACCGAGCTGAGCTGCGGCTTGTACTGTTCACGTCCACGAGCCTCTCGAACTCGTTAAAAAGAGAGCGAGAGCACGAGCACGAGCACGAGCCGAGCGGGCTGGCTTGCTATCGTCACTATTCACGAGCGGCTCGCCGAGTCGCTCATGGGCTCGTTTACTATATTTTTAAAAAAAAATAAAAAAAAATTTAATACAATTGACCAGAAGTTTTTTTTTCCCCTACTTTTCTAGTTTTCTTATCCTATAAATACACAACCCATTACAACATTTTTTTCCCACCAAACTTTTATTCTATACTCTCTACAATTTACACATCATTATCAACAATATCATTCATTTATTCTATAATTCTCTTCTACATTTTTTACATTATTATCTTAATTTTACAACTCATTTTATACACCAGTATATAATCTTCATTCACTTCTCAATTCTACATTTCTACATTCTATTTTTTATATTCAATTTCAACAATTCACAAATGGATCAACGAGTATTTGTTGAAAACTTGTTCGGTATGGAAGACGAAATACCTGCCCAAAATCAATTTGGGAATGAATTTGCTGCTCTCAATGAATTACTAATTCCAGAAGATATTGAAGATTTCGACGTTTGTGAAGGTAGTCATAATGTTTTGAATGAATTTCACATTCTTGAATTTGTAGTCCTTGGTGATTTATGTAGCTGACCCAAAATTCATTGAGAATGAGGAATAGTTTTTGAAATGTGTTTTCAAGCATTCATTTCATTAGTGAATTGCCAATCACGGTTATTGAACCTTTCAGAGCAAAATCTCCATTCTTATTTTTTCGAGACATTAGCAGTTCAGTGTATCTTATTGAGGGCACCTTTAGTTCTTTACCTGGTTTTTGTTCTTTTAGCATCTTTGATGTCCTTGGATGAAGCATGCCTCTTGCCCAGATAGAAGTCATAATTTCACGAAAGCTCAGTTCATCACTAGTAATCATATAAAGACACAAAAAACATTTAATAATCATAAAATAACGCATATTTTATCACGATAAAAAATTAGAGCAAAGACTACATAAATTAAAGCATGAATTAATACATCTAATACTAAGAAGAGTAGTTAGAGCAGATAAATGTTTTGACGAGCCCCGATAAATGTTTTGAAAAATGTATATTTTAAAAAAAATAGAAAATGTGCACATATATTTTTTGAATTTAAGATTTAGTTGTAATATAAAATAAAATAAAATTAAAAAAAAAAAAAGAGAGCGCGCCCCCTTTTTGGGCGAGCTCGGGCACGAGCCGAGCTCGCCCAAAAGGAAACGAGCCACGAGCTCGGCTCGTGCGAGTATGGGCCGAGCCGGCTCGGTTCGGCCCATTGACACCACTATTGATAATCGAATAGTTAAAAACAACTATTCTTGAAAAAGACTATACCAAGCCATGTAAAATGGAGTAACTCAAGTCTAACATGTCTAGTACTATGTTTATATTTAAGTGATATGAGATTAGAATTATGCTAAATGTACACTTTAGTGTACATTCTCAATGGCATTCACTCCTATGTGGAGAGAATCTGTGCAATATGATGTGTATCTTCAAAGTCAATTGTGTGGATTATGTCACAAGGTAGAGTGTGAACCAAAGTGTACATGTAACATGGTTCATGAGATTATTTTCTTATACCACACTGAATTTCAGAATTCCATTTCAATTAACCTCATCCTCATCGAGGAAAGTAAACCAAACCATATTATTGTTTTTATATTTAATCGACTTGAAATTTTATCTTAACGCTAACTTGACCATTCAAATGAGTTAGTTGAACATGGTACTAGAGCGGCCAAAATCTTGAAACGTCTCACCAAAATTCAAAATTTAAATTATTTTAGATGAGAGTTATGAGAGAGGTGGCAAACAGAGCGTAAAACTCCTAACTAAAGTCCAGTAGTCATTTAATACAGAAGACAAAGGGTGATTAATGAAACATTTAATCACAAAGGAAAGGATACAAAAATTTCAAAAGTTTAGAAGTAATTACCACAAATCCATTAATGAGAGCTTAGGAACCCAAAAGGTCT